AAAGCCATCTGCAGCCAATCGGATGGCGGTGTCCGGGCGGAGAATGCGGGATGCCGCATCATCGAAGATTTCCACATGTGGCAGTGCCATGCGAGAAGGTTCAATGCAACTGAAAACTGTGCAACCTAAAAAGCTGGTGCCGTGCTATCAATATGCCCAGAGGACCCGCATTAGTTGAATACCACTGATGCTTTTTTGAAGAAGTACACAGAAGCGTTTAGAAGGCAACTATGACTCTCACAATGTCTTCTGTGAAAGAGTGGCATCCTTGCACCACACTGATTGCGCGCGACCACTAAATTTGTCCCAAAAAACAGCCGAGCAAGCCGGAATGAACAATCACGACGACAAAATATGCTGGCAACAGGATCGTGAGAGCAATCGTGTTCTAACCGCGGTGGTGCGAATCATCAAACTCGAAAGAAGAATTTCTGGTAGTCACAGGAGACGAGGAGGAAGCCAAAATTTGACAGGTATAAGTCGGCCCTTCTAGACACACGCAGAAAAAATTATTAATCCCTTTTCAGCATAGCAGGAAAACTCTGTCCAAGGTGGACTGTGAAAAAAGGAAAGGTCCTGGCCTCCAGTGAGGTCGAACTCGCTCGCGGGAAGCCTCTCTTGCGCATCACGCCCTGGCAATGCCTGACAGTCATTCTAGTTTGCTTACTGGTTCTTAATATGGAATAAGGAAATGTATTACATGGGGAAGATATAGGGATTTTGTTCCCCTATCCCCTACTGAGAACCAGCAAGTTGCGGGGTCGGGAGGACTTAGTAAGTATACTTGGAACTCCCATGAACTACATGATAACCCAAGGTATCCCTTTTGTGAGCCTGCTTACTTCTTGCAACTGATCCTCCAAGAAGTTCCCTGGTGCTGCACACTGAACACCCGCCTACCACCTGTGTTTTAAACGTGTCCCACTATAAACATGTATATGTACGTATATATATATATATCTCTATATATATATACACGTGTACACTCTCATAAGGAATATTGAATATCAAGGTGGTGGTTTGGCCAATGTTCGGGGACGGAATTCATACTTGCAGCACTTCAACAGTCTAACTACTGGTCTTGGTACGCTTCCAAAAAAGTACTGCAAGTGTTGTTGTTCTTGGTAAGTAGCTCGAAGTTCTTATCGTTGGTGGCATCGGATCAGAAGCAAGTAATTACAACCTCCTAATCAGCCGGCCGAAGGAAATCGATAACCCTTGTTTTCAGACCGGTGGCGCGGGCTGAAGAAATACGAAAGGACAGGGACTAACGGCAATCCAAAAACAAGCCGAAGCTGGTACGAATTGCGCGGCAAGCTACATTCCCTATGTGCCCATACAAAGCCGTCAAGCTACCCAGCCTTCGAGACCCTAAGTGGAGGCTACTGTAAGCCTTGGGTCATGCCCCCACCCTGAAACAGTCTATATGACAGTTCATATTAAGGCCTATATATAACTATATTGTTCAGATTATCCAACTATGAAACAAGGGGGGGCATTACCCAAAGCAAACCACTCAAACAACCTCCAAGCTGAAACTGGCCCGACCTCTTCGGAGGCATCTGGGCCCTGTGCATCAGCATCCTGCCAATGGAGGGACGACTCAGGAGTTTTGCCGGATAAGCTCCCAAAATTAATCTTCAATGGAAACCTCTGTGATTCCTATACAAATCCCTACGTACCCACAACAAGTTCTCCAAAGGCACCCCACCACTTCGAGAAAATCCCAACTTCAGTTTATAGACCCATCCAGTACCAGTCCGTGCTAAACCTTATGCTAAGCCTCCTTATACCCGCAGATACACCCGTAGAGGACTGTTTTAGTTGGGCCCAACCTACGGAATGACAGCAACAGAACCTCCGCACCTCCAAATCCTCGTCTTCTTCTTCTTCCTGGACGATCCGGGCTCTGATTGGAGCGCCTGCCGGCCTCTCCTTGGTGCAAGACTCCAGCGGATCTTATGGTAGGTTGTGAAAACTGTTGCCCATTTTGGATTCCGAATACTTGGCCGTCTTATATTTCGTACCCCGAAGGAGACCATGTTTTTGAGAACCTACCATATCCTGAATTAACCAACAAACTTCCCCAATGACTGCCCTCTCTTGTTCTCTGATACCAAATCGCTGCCTGGGAACCTCCGACAGTGCGGATACAAGATCTGCATCGCCCTGTCTGAGCTCGTCCACGATGCTTCTCACCAAAGCCTCCAGGAGAGATCAACCCGGTGGCGGGTGTCGCACAAATAATTGTATTGCATGGATGCCACTCTAGCTAATAGCAGTATAGGTGCTCACAACAATAACAAAACGTGATGGTAGGATGATACAAATAATACCAACAACAAAATCAAGATCCCAATGCGCTGAAGGTTAAAATACAAAAACCATCCTAGAGATAGTAGTAGCGGTGAGGCTGAGCAGTACAAGCCTCATCAAAAAGAGCAACACGAAAGACGACTGCAACGCAAACTCTACACTGCCCTAAACTAACAGTCCAAAAAGGGCAATAAAAGACTAAGGTCGCTAGAAAAAGGAACATATCAGCTTCCATGCTCGGTTCGAGCTCAGTGAGATTTTATCTCAAAAGCGATACTGTCGGGACCAGGGGTCTATGAGAGCTATAGGCAGCATGTAGTGCTTTGAATCGTGAATCAGCTGCAATTGACTTCCCAAATCGAATCTTTTCGTGCCCTCAAGTCGTCAGATTCTGGGGTCCCCACAAGCCCCCACGAGGATCCCTGTGGAGACTAGTCTCTTTGAATGGTTTGGGGACAGGGAATTCCCCCTTAAGCTCACATGGAACCCCAAAAGTGGTCCGATCAAGACAACTATGCGTTGAAAAAGGACTCGCATCAGCTGGGGGGAGGGTCAAGCTCCACCACTTAACCCTGAAGCCTCAGCATCCTCAGCGAGGCCCTCGTTGTGAGCCTTCCGAGTGAGCCCCGACTTGCAGGATTTGGGATAAGGGGATTATAGGCGTAATATAGGGTTTATTTAGGGCTTTATATTGGTTATATAGGGTTTATATAGAGTTAGGGTTTACAGGTGGCTAAGACCGCGAAAACTACAAGTCACATGAAGCACGTCCGCTTGAGAGGAACATGACAATGACACGTGCAGCAGAACGCCAACCATGCAAACAATGCGAAGGTTAAGACGGAGGTGTGCACTCTGACTACAAACATGCATATACTAGGACGCCCTGAATGTTTTGAGTTCAGGTTTTTTTGGCGCCACAATTTTTGTTGGGGAACTCCTACTCACAGCAAGTCCACAAACCCGCTGTATTTCACCACATGGGGCCCTTCGGAGCCCTAGGGACAATATTGAAATACCAAGAAAAGCGCAGTACCTCGGTTATCCGCGGCGAGGGGGAGTCCACACCTCGAACAGCACTGGCACACTCATACTTGAACAATGACCTGTTGATGAATTATAAGAATGAAGAGGGGAGTCTACACGGGCACGCTTGGGAATTGTGCAGAATTCGGGGTAGTCAGAAGCAGAGATTTCAATATCCAAGGATGCATGTCAAAGTACCTGTCCTTCTTATGAACTCACTTCTGCATGGTACTTTCCACCAATAGGGGTCCTAATATCAACCTCGATGTACTATGATACATATGATGCGGACACCAACAAAAGAACATCCACGCCCCATATGTCAGTAACCATGAACTTGCGACTACTTGATGGATTGAGAAAATCATGCATCAAGGGCAAGACCTGGCTTCTTGCGATTTAGGGTTCAGGGTTTAGGGTTTGGAGTGTACGATTTGGGTTTTAGAGTGAAGGGTTTCGGGTTCAAGGTTCAGGGTTTTGGGCTAAGTATCTTGCCATGCTTGCCTGTTTTTCCTTCGGCCTGCCGAGATAGCAAGCGGCCGTCATCAACGCGTTACTTTCCAGGCCCGTTTTCGTGATGTATTTCGGAATGCAGCAACCCTGACCCCCCCCCCGAAACCCTAAATCCTCAACGCAAGTTTGGTTGACCTGAACCCTACACCCGGAATCATGACCTTCCACCCTAAGGGTCATGCAAAGCTTCCTTCGATGTCACACAGTCTAGGGGTCCAATGTCAACCCACCCCCCATTAAAGTCTGGATTGCTCGTAAAACCTTAGTAGTTTTTTGTTACCAAAATAGTTATGGGTATGTAATGTGGCACATAGAAGAGTTGCCTTATTATCTTATTATGGTGAGCTTCAATTCAATAATCCAGTAAATTGGACTTCAAGAACAAACAATTTCGAAGCCCGCATGTGAAAGCCAAGAAGAACTCCCGCTCCTTCCAGCAGGACACCCAAACAAGGATCCATGGTTGTAAGGCGTGTAAGTCAGAAAGGAAGTTGCGTGGACTGCCACGAAACATCCTAAGCAGACCCATCAACCCCACATGCAACCAGAAATCAACTCAAACGAACCCCCAAATTTTGGGAAACCCCAAATCACATGCTATCAGGCCCAGGCATGGAAGTGCGAGCACACACTTCAGGGACAACTGGTTGTCTGGCCTTCATCCCAAGTTCCATGCAAGCCCCCCATGCAGGTACACTTTGAAGGCTGCCAAGAAAGTATGGTCCCTGTCTCGGCCCTCTTCTGAAACAGCCCCTGCTTATAACGATACTCACATTTGGAGAATTATAGTCCCCCTTAAGGGGGAAATGGGGATGTTACTATAATATACCCAGAGCCATATTCTATCTACTTAAGGGGGACTATATTCTCTTGACAACGACACATGTGCAGTACAGGCAGATGAGGGCGTGTGGCGCTGCTAGTCGAAATCTGCAACTGAATCAGCAATAGGGGGGCTGTCCAAACACTACAGCCTTTTCTTTCCGTGTATCCAATATCTTAAGGATCCTATGCCCTATCCTCATCAACACTAACCCCATCAGGATGTCGACAGCCACCCTCAAGGCAGATGTCTTTTACTTCCAAACTCGTCTCGCAGTCCGCGCAGATGTTCTCGCAGTCTGGATACGACGGATATGTCCGGCCTTGTTGGCCAGGGACTCTGAGTCCTTAGCCATTCAATCATGAAACAAGAGGAATGCGGAGTTTTAGGTGGAGTACATGTGAATTTGCAAAAATGGTGCCAGAATCTCATAAGACACCCCTGGGGTGGCTGTTAAGTAGGGTGACAGGGATCATCTGTGCAATCACAGGGAATGTTGCTCATGCACAGAAAATATAATCTTTTTGAAGAACGGCTATATGTTATAAGTACCCCAGGATAGATTCCAAGCCAAAACTGTCTTGCTTCCAGCAAACCTTTTAATTACCCGTGAGCTTCCCAATGCACAGATTTCCCCCGGGAGGCGATGCTTAGTTGTCTTCCAAGGATCAAGAGCGCCAGGAAAACGGTCTGCAAAGCAATGCAAATAAAGCTCTAGCTTGCTCATGGGCGGACGGGGATACTCCAAGCGACGCCAGTTCTGCAAAGTAACGGAACCTGGTTCACAGCGAAACAGCATGAACGTCCTGCTTGATCCAAGCGGACCAGGAGAGTCACCACTGAAGGACTCGCATTGGATTTCGACTGAAGCTGTCTCAACGGCTTCCTCTTGGTCAGGCTCTGAAGCGTCTTTCTGTGGGAGTTGCTGCTTGGCTCGGGTAGTGGCTATCATGTGCGAGATTTTCGCAAACTCCCTGGGCAGAGCCTCTCCTCCTTCAGTTCTCTCAATGGTGTGCGATCGCTTGACAAGCCTTCGCTGGATGCAGGATTCCTCCTAAAGTTGATCTTTCTGCCTCCCGACTATTTTGAATCATAAGAAACGCAATTCCAAGTCCTAACAGCCAGTTGGAGAGTCAAGGAGACTTAGTAATCAAGCAGCTTAATCATATCCATTGGGGGGTAATAATTCTACTTATTAGGTACCCCCGACCCCCCAAGTGGACCATAAACCCAACGCCCCAAACCCTAAACCCTAAACCCTAAACCCCAATCCCTGAACCCTGAACCCTAAACCCTTCAAGTTGCCAAGAGCCAGGCTAAGGCTAAGGCCAAGCCGCATCGGCTTCTTCCTTCGTGGCCGCCGCTGCTTGGGTCCCTGTGTATCTTAGGGTCTTAGGGGGATTAGGAAGCATTTCAACACATGGAAAGGACAGTGGAAACTACAATCTAGTTTCTAGGGTTTAGGGTTCAGATTGTAAAAATACCCAATGCCTGTAGTTAGCTGCTTACCAGGGCTCCTTCCAAAAAAACTGTACCCACCGGGGTTCGAAACCCTGAACCCCAAATCCCCAAACCGGGTTCCTGCGTATCAGCTTTCTTCGGCTGGGCGTTGGCAGGTGGCCGGGGCGACGCACTTTTATCTCCAGGGAAGCAGGGCACGAGCTCCACAAATGAGGAAGCTGACTCAATGACCTGGTTTAGGGTTTAGGGCTTCGG